AAAAAAAAAAAAAAAAAAAAAAAGAATAGCTGAGATGAAAAATTGTTAAGTATAACAAAGAAAAATGCAGAATAATATGTATAGACCAATTAATTACATTTTTAGAATCATGTATTCATGTGTTTATGTGTGTATGTGTGAGAGAGAGACAGAGAGAGGGAATTCTGGAAGAATATACCCTAGGCTATTTTCATTAAGTTGGGAGTGGCTTACATTTTCAAACTGTTTCCAAGGAGTTAGGAAAAGGTTTTCATATTTACAATTATACTTTTGTTTGGCTTGCACTGAATGAAAAGAATTCCTAACTGGAAACAGGAAATTCTGTTAACCAGCAAAGGAAAGTGTATCTCTAAGGGCAAAATTGCTACCTTAGATATGGACGTTAAAATAGCAAACAACTTACCCCAGTGCAACAAAGCCACACAGAATTTCTGACAACTCATCTTACTTCAGAGCAGTCGATCTGAAAAACAGTAACTCTAAAAAAATAACAAGAACAAAGAAAAAACACTCTTAAGTATACATGCGATATGTGTGGAAATCATGAAAAGAAATATAAATAAAAAGTCTTTAAATTGTAATCCTCTGGATCTATATCAGAGAGGTCTAACATGAAAATAGGTTATATGTTTATTCCTGTGCTCACGTTATCTTAAATAGTTAAACATAAACCATACAATAAATTATACAATATTCCTTTATGCTTTGACAAACCTGAAAGGGGAGATATCACAAAATAAGACTGAACTTTTAACTCAATAAAGGTGCTCACAATGTTGATTAAACATGTAATAGCCAATCTAACATCAGGAGCTCTGGTAGCTTAGTGCCTAAGGCACTTGACTGCTAACCAGAAGGCTAGTGGTTCAAACCCACCAGCCACTCCTCGAAAGGAAGATGGGGCAATCTATTTCCATAGTGATACTGCCTCAGAAATCCAAGGAGGGGTCGCTATGAGTCAGGTCTGACTCAACGGCACATAACAACAACAACAATCTAACATCATTAATAACACAATCTTCAAATTTTTCCTGTTCATTTTTTAAATATCTCTTATTTTCTAAAAGTTTTTTTATTTACTAGGGTAGTACAAAGCCAAATATTATACAAAATTAATGACTGCATATTTAGTTCCAATAAATAGAAGAAAATTTTCCAACATGCTTTTGGAAACTCATTGTTCATATATAGATGCAATAATACTCACATTTGAGAGTTATCAGAGTAATTCAAGGAAAGTCTGGTGCCTTAATCTAAATGACAGGGATAACGTCAGTGATAAGGTCTCCTATAAATTTTGTTCAATTGGAAATATATCATGAATAAGATGATTTGTTCTATGTCATGGATAAGAATTGTAATGTAATTTTAATATACTGGGTTTAGAGTTGTAATGAAACGCTTGAAGTTTCTGATGTTCCAGTCTTTGCTTTAGCACAAGTTGGGAATGTCATTCACAACACAGAAGTAATCTGAAGTAAAAAGTCCTGAACTGAGCATCCAGAGTGTTGGGTACAGTCTACTTTCTTCCACTAATCCACGGTAGATCTAAGGACTCCACCATTCTCAATCTTAGGTTCCTCATCCACAGATGAGGTTGTTAGGTGATCTCTACGATTCCTTTCACAGCTGCCTATTATTTTATTTAAAAATAGAAATCCCAGAACTCTATGGAGATATGCCACACAAAAAAATTATAAAATATTAAGTGAGAAAAGTATCTCATAGTTCATATGAGGAGTAAATAGCAAAGCATACTTATTTTACAATCCACATGACTCTAAGAAAGAAACTTAACGAGCAGAAACATTTTATAGGCTGGTAAGTTTGTTTTACAGACTATCAATTTTACATGAGAATTTAGATTCTTTGGTGGCGTAGGGCCTAAGGCATTTGACTGCAAACCAGAAGGCTGGCAGTTCAAATCCACCAGCCACTCCTCAGAAGGAAGAAGATTGTGCAATCTACTTCCATAGAGACACTGCCTCGGACACCCAAGGAGGGGTCACTATGAGTCAAATCAAATCGACAGCAGTGAGTTTGGTAGGGTCTTTTTTGTTATGCTGGTATCACAATGTTTCATTAGGATCTAGTTCTAGCAATTAATTAGTTCAGTTTGGAATCCACATGATCTGATCATATCAAGTATGTACAAATTCTGTTTTTTTTTATGCCACTTGTTCCTGATCCAAAATTTTCTTATAAAATAAACCTAAGGGGAAGTTTCATAATCAGGTGTCATAGGTACAACATTAGCACTAAACCAAGGGTTTTGATCACATTCACTATGACCACTAATTCACTGCATTGACTGACTTGACACCTCTTTTAAACTTCACTGATCTGC